AAATTGAGAATATATTAAAAATCTGAGAAACAACGGAATCTCAAGACAAAAACCTACACAGGAACCCCAAATACACAGCTTATGAGAGAAAGCAGAAAAGTGAAGGGTGGGCAGATGCACGAGTGAGCAGGCACCAACTTGTCTCTGAGCCCTGCTCCTGAGGGAAGAACCACTGTGGGCATATCCCTTAACATTTAAATGAGGACTATTCAAGAGTGTGGTGCTTTGGGCTTAGGGGATTAAAAACTCAAGTGTAAGTTAGCAAAAAAAAAAAAAAAAAAAAAAAACAAAACACAATTGAAGAAATACTTCCAAAGCTATGAAGCCTTACCACTTAAGATAATTATAGAAACTTATGACTGCTTCCTCTCTGGCAGAAAGAAGCACAGAAAGCTGAAAACAACAGGCCCTTTGTAGCAGAGAGTAGTGCTTTGCTTATTCTATTACACATTGGCTGGGAGATAAGAATAAACAAGACAACACCCTGTCTAACTGCAGGGGAGGTGTGGGGCACACTGGCTGCCGTCACTCCTGGGCATGTATGTGCAGGGCGTCTCTCTGAAGTTGAGGTTGTTGGGAAACTCTGCATACAGAGTCAGGAGCTAGGATAAGCATGCAGACGTTTTCTATTGCACAACCCAATCTTTTAAGAACAAGTTGTGTATAATAAGGGGCTTTATGGTATTGCTCCAACATGAAGAATACTGAGAGTATTTGAGCAATTATTTCTCTAAACTCTTTGTCAACATTACTTTTGTTTAACAAGAAAAAGAAAAAAAATACCTTAAAAACTTAGACAAGCAAACATACACACCCCTATCCCTTCCCTGTGACTACTAGGTGAACAAAGAATCATGCAACAGCCAGCAGGTAATGAACATGTAGACACCGGGGTCATCGTTCTCTCCTGGCACAGGGGTAGTGTCTACTCTGGCTGCTAGGTGCTGTGCCAGTTTTAGCAGTGAAGATTATGCTCAAGGATAGTAGCTGCTAAGCCCTGGGGCTCTAGCTAGCCCATCATGAGAGCACTCATGATCCCAGGACAAAGCTGGTCTTTGTGGCTATCCCATATCTCACTGTCTCTACTTCTCTTCACATGGCTGACCTGAGCCCACCCTAACAAAGCCACCCACCCTACTCTTCAGTGTCCTTCCAGTTTACTTTTTTTTTCAGAGCACACATCTTCACTTCTGTGTGTTCAATTTTTCCCAGGCTAGAATGTGTATTCCTGGGAGAATGGAGATCTTATCAACTTCACTCACCCTTGTAGTTTTGGCAGTGTAAATGCTGCAAGCAGACAACATGTTTGACAGAAACACAGAGACAGCTGCACACAACCTGGTTTGGAGCCAGAAGAAGGAAGGTCAGAGAAGAGTCTGGCTACCTCAGCCAACCACACTATCTCTACTTTCCCTGTTCTACAATTTTCCCAGTTGGACAAAGGCAAGACTAATACATGAAGAGTGAAGTTGAAAAGCAGGGCCTTGTGGCTTTTTGATGGCACTAAACAAAACCCTGGCACTGAGATAATTTTCAGGACTCTTGAAATTCAAATATGGAGTGCAGGGTACCTGGTCATCAGCAAGGTAGTCCTAATTCTGCTTTGTGATACATAAACTGAACCACTGAAAGACAAAAAAGGTGAAGCAAACATGTACAGACTAGGGCATACCTGTGATCTGCTGAGAGACAAATGGCAAAATACACACATACAGAGATAGGACTGGGTGTTAGTTTTAGGCAATGTTCATAAATATCCTTTCAGACTATTATTACATTGACATTATTGATGTTATAACAAAGTGTGGAGTGTGACGAAGAATATCCTTTGCATTTATTTCTCAGTGAGAGGAAGTTAGGCTGGCTGTTCCATCTCAATTTGAGACGTGAATATATGAGGTCATAATGAAAATGGCAGAATATTAATTATCTCAACCGGAGAGCTTTATGTATACAAAGAGACTTATTAAAAATGTACCCATATCTTCATGGAAACATCATATTACTCCAAGACATGCAAATGTCATGTTCATGGAAGGCAGAAATTAAATAAAATAAAACCAGAAAGCCCAGAAATCCCAAATGATCAAAAGATGAGATGGGGTGAGCCATGGAAGACCAAATGCAAAATAGCAGGTTTCCTCTGTCAGACTGGAACGAAAGCATCTTTCCTTTTGAATAGTGAGTAAGAAAAGGGCTAGCACAAGGGAGAACTGGTCAGCTGTGGCTCTGTAGAAAAGGGTGACAGAATCAACACAGTACAATACCAATGAATACTTTTGTTAAAAAGAAGTCCAATTCTAGACCACCGTTTATACACTATTTACCTTCTTGTGTATTGATCATTAAGCTTTCAAATTATAAGAATGTGTTTTCTTCAGTCCACTGAAATCACCTCTTTGGCTCAAAAGCAGAACCCAAGAGGAGAGTTTTAAGGAGTCTCATACAAGCTCTGATGAATAATGTCTAAAACATTGTGTATAGTCCAAACATTTTTAAAATACTTTAACACAGTTAATGATTTGCCTGGGAATGCTGAATGCTATTTGCCAAAAAGAAATACTAAAATGGTGCTCATTATAATTAAAACCTAACTGCTAAAGAAGCCCAGAGCTATGGAATTTATGATCTTGCTACACGATTATAAAACAGGAACTGAAAGAGTCAGTTAATTTACCAAGAAGTGCTTTGATTATCCAGCATACTATAATGGTCAGGATGTGAGGAATTTTGGTGTGTAGGATTCTAATGATAGCACATCATGGGTCTGAACATTTCTTTATCCCTGTCTGGGCCAAAGACTTGACCTTCATGCCTGCCATTTTTGCACCAGGAGTACCTTGAGCATAGATAAAGCAGTAGGCCTCTGGTAGCTAGCTGAGTCATCCAGGCATTCAGCTGCAGGTGGCTCAAGGTGTAGGGATCTGTAAGGCCAAGCCCAGCAAGCGGAATCAATTTAAGTCAGAGTTTGGAAAAACAGAAGCCTACCCTCACTCTTCCCCCACCTAGGAGTAGACAACACCACAACCACCCTTCTACAGTTCAAATGCCAAGAACGGAGTGAAGTACTGGAAACAACTTAACCAGGACAGACTATTTTCCTGTCTAATAAGGAAAGGTGGGGTAGGGGTAGGGCAGGTATTTGAGAACCATGCACAGTTCTCCTATTCTGAAGCATAACAGCTCCTCATGACTGCTGAGCTATTACCACCACCTCACTTCTGACATTTGTGCACAGCATCATTTGGCCTTCTGGCACTTAGGCTTATTATTTTAAAAATACAGCATTAAGAATACTTAAATCACGTTAAATATCTCAAAAAGCAGAACTCTTCCTGGCTGCCTGCTTGGGCATGCAGACTTGGACAGAGAAGTTATAGAATGGCCTACAGGTCAGCACATTCTAGTTCCGGCAGATTGTGTCTCAAGGAGCTATCAAGAGACTCTGTGGACGAAAATACTAGGCCTTTGGTTCCCCCAGGCTAGAACATGGAACTATTAGCAAATACGCCCTGAAAAATAATGCTCACAAAGTGCTAAAACCCCCAAATAAATGTGACCCCCTCAAAACTGTACAAATGAGAAGCATTTAATGAACAACCCTTTCCTCACCAATAACTGCTTAAATTAAGTCCAGGAGACTCTTCAAAGGGACCAAAGAAGTCCCCTTGTTAAGACCAACTATATATAGACATCAAGACAATTATATGATGCATGCAACCACACATATATAATTATCCTAGTTTCCACATTCCCATTATCTTCGTAAAGACAGGATAAAAATCAGTCTAAATGACTCTATGAGACCTCCTCAGGGATTACAGTGAGCCAGCCAACCCTTAAAAAGTGGTGTGTGTGTGTGTGTGTGTGTGTGTGTGTGTGTGTGTGTGTGTGCATGTGTGTGGTGGTAGAGGTATGTGTGTGTGTGTCTGGTGTGTGGGTGTGTGCCTGTGTGGTGGGTGAGTAAATGTGTCTGGTGTGTGTATGGGGGTTGATGTGTATGCATGCGTGTGCGCGTGCGCGCGCGCGTGTGTGCGTGTGTGTGTGTGTGTGTGTGTGTGTGTGTGTGTGTGTGTAAAGATCAAAAGCAAATATTCTGGTCAGTTCTTTTCTACTCAAGGGTTTTACCAAGAATGTGTGCAGCGTTTTGGGAAAACACCACGAAGGACAGCTGTTCAAAAGCATGGAAATGAATTGGCAGCAGGAATTTCCTTCACTAATAGGGAAAAACTCAAAGCCACATGTCTGATGGCCTTGTTTTCCCGTCCCTTCAAGCACAGTCCCTGTTAGTGATTAGGATTTGCAGACAGAAGCACAGGCAAGGTTCACCGTCATCTTTCCTCTGTGGGACAGAGCTACTCTCCCATCACTGTGTGGACAGACAGAGGGAACGACGGTCAGCTTGCAAGTTTCCATTTTCTGTTGGAATCAAATGGAGGCAGGGTAAGAATAATTCACTTGCTGTATTAAAAATAGGAACAAGTCACTATGCCCCTCCCCCATGGCAAGCCATCTGCTTGTAGCTGTTTTTCCAGCAGTGAGGATGGATTTACGCTCTCTCTGACATAGGGCTCTCAAGTTGTTGCCTTGTGACCAATGGTGAGAATGGAGGAGGCAGCCGGTCAGGATTAGGTGAGCAGCTGTGTCCCTGGGACCAGCTTTTGTTACTGTGCTCAGAGTCTGACACCATGACCTTGAATTCATTAGCAGTAAGCTCTCATCACCCAGCTAACAGCAACTGAGCAATCATGACCCCGCATCCATCACTGTGGGCGTGCAATGAATTCTCAAGCCTGCCCATGATACCTGTGGGTTCATGCACATGGGTGGTCTACTTGAAAACTATGCCCTGAAGGTAGCAGTAAGATGTCCAGGAGGGAACAAGGAACCCCTTCCATCTTAAGCAAATGAAACTGCTGACAGAGCTTAAGAAAAGTATTCCCCTTGTAGTCCCCAGGGCTCTGAAGCACTTGTACCATGCACTAGATGGAGAAGCATACCTGGCCATTCCCAGACTTGGAAAGTTGGCAGGGACAATGAGGATGTCCAGCCGGGAAAAAGGGTGTGTTCCCAGGATGGAGTGTGCAGCAGAGAGACAAGGAGGGATTAGCCACAGCAGGGTCTCCTGGCAGGCACCCTCAAGGCACACTGGGGCAAACACTCGATGAGGAATGATCTCCTGGGTGGCAGCAGAAGCCTTCTGGAATCGGCATGGGTATTCTTCATGACTGCAGGTGTCAGCATACCTGAGACAACACACAAGAACAAACGTGGACAACTATGAGAAGACAATGGTTCAAACAGGCTTATTAGTAAAAGTGGCTCACTTCCATTATTGGCTTGTCTGCTTTTAGACAGCAGTGAAAAATTATAAATCAAATATTTATTGATGTGCTTGAAGTGACCAAATGACTTCAATCTAAACCACATGAAAGTAAAAGACTTTGTTTTAAAATTAATGTGGAGTAGGGGTGGGGCAAAATTTAAAACAATAAAACAACCTCCCACCTAAATTAAAGCAAATTCTACCCTCAGTAATGTGATTTAAAATGCCATTATAGAAAAACTGTTCAAATAATATACAATTCTTAGGAAGGCAGTGATGCAATGGCCATTTTATTTATTTACTTTTCATTGTTCGAGATGTAATGTAATCAAGGGAGCTCTGAACTCAGAATATAGCCGAGGCACCGCTTCAACTCCTGATGCTTCTGCATCTTCCTCTCAAGTGCTAGGACTACAGGTATGAGCCTCTATGTACTTGGCTATAAACAAATTAAAGACTCCATTCTGGAATATCCTAGAATAAATGACTTGGGATGAGGTTGGACAACAAACCAATCACAGTTACAGGCACAATGTTCAAAAAAACCCCTACAAACCATCCTAACAAAATGTAACTTGTCAGAGGTTAGCACTTCTGAGAGCATTTTTTCCCACTTCGCTTTTGGCTTTTAAGACAAGGACACATGCATCCCGGGCTGGCCTGAAACTCACCACATAGCTGAGAATAGCTGTGAATTCCTGATTATCCTGCCTCTACCTCCTGTGTGTTGGAATACTGGCATATGCCTGGTATATACAGTGCCGGGAATTGAACCCAGGGTTTCCTGCATGCTAAGCAAGTACTTGACCATATAAATTTAATGAAATCGACCTTATAAGGAAGCAGAGCAGAGTCCAGAAAGCCCCATGTGATCAGCTACTCCCTAAAAGGCAAAGGAGCTGAAAGAAAATTCCTAGAGCCTGACTCATAGGCCTCAAGAGAATTTATATAGCTAAAGAAGCTAACATCAAAGAGAATTCTATTTTTTCATGTTAGCATATCCTCTATTCAGACACAATGGAAAAACCCTGTAACTTTAAATTGCAGATTATAATCCTAGCTGTGGGTGCTCCTGTGATTCACCATGAATAATGAAGAATCTCTAAGTGCTTGCCTGTATCAATTTGGGCAGGTTGCAACAATAATTCCACATTAGATTTATTAAGTATCTTCTACCCACCCAAGGCCTGTGATCAGGAGATCCACACAACTATGTAAACAAGCCTCACCTTCCACCATCGCACTTCAAGAAAGCACCAAGAATAACCAGCCCCAGTGAGGCCTTGTTATGGTTGAGGGTGAATAGGAAAAATGGGACATGTAATAGGATAAAGTGCTAGGATAAAATAATAGCAAGAATATAGTCATTGACATTCTTAAGCCTAGACTGATAAAATCACCTTACCAGGAAAGAAAGCAAAGGCATCTGCTTGTAAACACCCAACTAAAAAGGTTGCAACATCTACCTAAAGATGAGGTGCAAAGGCCCCTTACCTGCTGAGCCTGTGTGGGGCTTTTTAAAACTTATATACACGGGAAAACAATGTTCTATGGTAATGTAAGCTCACATACTCTCTAATGAAAAGCTTTTACAAGCTGACAGATGCCCATAAGCCTGTAAACCCAGCACTTGAAAGGTACAGACTGAAGAATCGGGAGTTCAAGGTAAGTTTGGCTTCCATGAGACCCTGTCTCAAACCTTCCACCCAAGGTTTTCAGAAGCCAAGTGTGACAACAGCGTGTACCAGTATACCCAGAACTCCAGCATTCAGGAGGTTGTGGCAACAGTACTATGGGTGACAGCAGCCTGGATTATATCAGTTCTAGGCCAACATAGGCTGCATAGTAAGACCCTGTCTCAAAAACCTGAAAAAAGAGGGCCCTTCAACATACATTTACCTAAGGCTGAAGCTCTCTGGACACAGCAAGGAGGTATGTTTCAGGTCTCAATATCATAACAGTGCAGAGAAGCATGCTACCTAGAAATGCTACTTATTTCTTGGAGGGAGATTATTTCTCACACCTGAGAACACTGAAAGTTAGGGAACAGAGAATGCTGGCAAAGGTACAGCAAACAAGCCTGTTTATTCAAGGGAAAAGATGGATAATTTCCTTTCCAGGCATATATGAACACTCACCAAAAAATGAGGATGATTACTCTTAGATGCATGACTTAGTACCATTTTCCATAAAACTCAGGACTTGAAGGCAATCAAGTTCTGGGAAAATTAAGTCAATGAGGTTCTTCATAGTGGTAGAAAGAGGTACCACTTGTGAGTTCCTACATAAGGACCTGCACACTTTGGCTTCAGTGGCTATGCTCAGACCAAATGTGAGCAAAGCATCTCACCCACAGTCTCACCAATGTGGCTGCCTAAAAAGAGGAGGGCAGATAAGAAAGGATCGGAGGGGACTCTCTGACATGACAGAATGTTCTCCGTCAGTGACAGTACTTCAGTACGTCACTGTGGGTGTCAGTCACATACTACAATGCTTCCCAAGGTTTCTATTTACAAAAGATGACTCTGGCCTTTCACTTCAAGGCCCCATTCATACAGCAGCTAAGGGAATGCAGGGCTTGTGCAGTCAACAATTAGCACAGACCCAGTCGCAACTGGAGATTCTTTCTCTTCCTTTCATGGTGGCTTTCCTCAGCTTTCACAATTCTCAAGACAAGACTTTCCCCACCCCAAGCCTTCCTTTCTGCAGAATAAGTCATATCAGTGTCTTTAATATGGTAGCAGTTTTTCAATCACTTTTGTTGTGTTCTACTGGAGGGTATCCAAGCTTCCAGGCCAAGCTTAAGCTGTATGACCCCAGATAAAGGCCTGAGAGGTTAAATATAAGCAAGACTCTTCTGTGGCTAGAACCAAATAAAATTAGTGCACATGGGACTGTTTATCTAAATGTCTTTAGTGTATATGTTTACTAAAATATCCATCCCAAGTGGACTAGAGGAGTTCTTCACCTATGTAATTTAGCTTATGGGAATGGTGATCAAAAATTCAGTACCAATCCTTTGGCTAAATTCTGGAACTCAGATGAACACTTAGGCAAATGAAAGCCATGGTATGTAAGGCTCCTGTAAACATGAAGTTGACATGAATGAGATTGGTGGACAGGAGGTCTCTGAAGGCAGGCAAAACCAGATATGAGCATAGCCAGAGACACCAACATGGGTGTGATGGTACAACAGAGCTGCTCAACCCATGGAGCCAGGGATGTGGTAGATAAACAGAAACACTGACTACCAGAGATGGTCATATAAGTTGTGATGGCATGACAGGATTAAGAAAACAAAGCTATTTCTTTATCAGCTGTATACTTCTGATACACAAGCATGCAGATAAATGAAACTGCACTGTCAGTCATGGAAGGGAATGTGGAGGAGCTCATTCCACAACACTGCCCCACTTCAACCTTGCTCAAAAGAACACATTCCCTGGGAATGGGACACATGACCTCCCTAACTTCTCTGGTTGTCTGGCCTTTTTGGACCTACTTGTCCAATGAGGGTCTTCTGGGGTCTGCTGTCTGGTCTATGCAGCAGTTGATCTGTTTGGTAAATGGTGTAGTAGTGTTAGGAAACCTGGTTCCCATGTACTCTCAGTCCAACTTGTCAATGACCAAATCTCTGCCTTCATTTCCTTCTGTATGCTCTTCAACTATTTCTAAACATTCAAGGGCAAAAGAAGAACAGGCTTTATCTTCCCTAGGTCCCAAAAGGAACTTTCCACAGCTTCATTTTCCCTAGTTCTCCCTTCTGACGTGGCCATGCTCTCTTCTGTTCACAATGGAAGAGACAAATGAAAAGGGATTCTAATTATTCTGAGCAGGAGGGCTCAACCCTACCTCATTACTTGGCCTTCATCCCCTAACTATCAATGAGCTCTAAGACTATAGGTAGAAAACTTCATTATTAAAAATCCATGAACAAAGATTTTATTTTGCCAAAAAAAAAAAAAAAATTGGCTTTGTCAAAGGGCCATAAGGATGCATCTTCAGGTTCAAAGGCCCTCAATTTTGTGTTTTCTTTCTTTTTCAAAAATTACACTTATTTTGTGTGTGAATGACAACAAGTGGTTCATGCAGAGGTTAGAGGATAACTTTTGAGAGTTGGCTCTCTCCTTCCAATATGTGGGTTCTGGGAATTGAACTCAGGCCATCAGGCTTGACAGCATGAGTCTTTACACGGAGCCACCTCCCAGTCCCTCAATTTTTGTTTTTCTGAGGAGATTCTCCAGTTAGTACTAATAGCTGGGTCACGGTGGTGATGTCAAGTAAGAAGATGGCTCCAAGATGCTTTCAGAGGTGGCTCAGTTGTTATATTCAGATTTTAAACATCTCTAGAAAAGATTCTAAGTTACCTCTCTAGAGATTACATCTGGTATAAATGAATACAGGTACTGTTCCTCAATGGGTAGGAAAATAAATTATTGTCTAAGCATCTTTATTGTCATCAATAACCAAGAGTAGAAAAGCCAACACACCTTACAGGTCTATTTTCAGAACTAAATGACCCCAGAACACGGCCTGCAGATAGCCAATGGCTTCTGTGTGGGTTCAGGATCAGCTAGAACACACCACAGTCACAAACCTTGCAGCAATTTGCTTTACCACAACAAAGTACATTTCTTGCTCTTACCAAGTCAAAGTTATTCTCTAGAGCACCTATCTTCCTTACTCAGAAACTTGGGCCATTTACAATTACAAAATGATGCCTGCTGTGTGGTTCCAGAGCAAGAAAGGGAATACTAGAGAGTCTTGTAGTTAAATATTTCTACATGAAGGCAGTGTGTATCCCCTCTTCCCTTGAGAGGATGCAAGTAAAATCTAATAATCTTTCTGGAACTATATTAAGTAGACCCATTAGGAAAGATACTCCAAAACTGACATAATGCTGAGAGAGAGAGAAAAAAAAAAGTAGAAACTAGCTCTATCCTGCCAAAAGAGCAAAATGTAGGCAGAAAGTGTGCCTGCCAGCAAAGAGAGCATACATGGTGTCAGCTCCTGAGGACACTACCTTAGCTACTGTGGTGAGCATACAAGCAACACAGCAAAGAAGACCAGCACAAAATGTCTTAGCTGATTTCTTTTTCTGTTCTGTTTGAGATAGCATTTCATACAAGATGGACCTTGAACTTGCCATGTATTCAAGAATGACTTCAGCTTCTTACCCAGATGCCTCTACATTCTCAGTGCTAGAATTACAAGTATGGGCCACACACCCAGTCTATGTGGTGCTATGAATGGAAACCAGGGTTTCATGCCTGCCAAGTAAGGGCTCTACCAACAAAGGACATTCCTGTCAGTTTTATTTCAAAGATGAAATAAGCATTTGTATCATTCTTCTGGATTTCTCCATGCAACAGCCTATATTATGTCTAAAAACGAAATGCTGTTTTATTTTCTGCATTTAAAAAAAAAAAACAAAAAACAAAACAAAACAGAAAAAATTAACAGGGCCTTGACTCAGTATGAATCCCTTAACCTAACAGCTATGTGACGTTCCCTTGTGGCCTGGACTCCTAGGGCTACTGTACACCACTGAAGAAGCTGCCTCGCAACATACCACCCACAGCCATCACTGGGCCAAAATGTTCAGTGCCCTCCGGGGAACAACCAGAGGAAGTTTTCACTTTTCTCTTCTTTTTACTGTGCACCTTTACTTCCTTAAGCCATTTTTTGACCAGACACTAAGACCAACATCTAAAGGGTAGGAGGGAAAGTGGTCAGTCTGAAGCTTTTTGTTTGTTTTTTGAGACAGGGTTTCTTTGTGTAGCCCTGGCTGTCCTGGAACTCTCTCTGTAGAGCAGGCTGGCTTTGCACTCACAGAGATCCGCCTACCTCTGCCTCTCCTGTACTGGGATTAACGGCATGCACCTCATGTCTGGCTCAATCTGCAGCTTTTTAATTTAAGCAAACATGTAGAAATGCTTCTGCCGATATCACAGAAGATTTTGCATCTACCTGGTTTCTTCTCTTTCCTCATGAACAACAAGCTGATATTTCTGACTCCGACTCTCTCTTCCCCAGTAGGCCTTTTCCTGCTTTGACTAGATCCAAACTAGCCCAGGTTCTCAGAAGGGATGACTCACATTCCAGAATGAAGTCATCAAATTCCCGAACACATACCTGAAGTCAGCCTCCAAAGGTGGGGTAGGGCGGGGACGTTCAGCCACTAGGTCAATGGATGGGGATGTCCTGGGCTTTATTTCTTTCCAGCACCCCACTGCAATGGTGAAGGTGGAGGCCGGCATTGGCATGGTCACATAGTAATACCAGCTCATGTATCCTATAAACAGAGAGCAATTGTCATGAGGCATGTGTGGCTCTGGGCCTTAATTCTAGTTCTTCTCTCAAGATACTTATGGAGCCTGTGGGACAAACTGGCAATAGCTCATCTTTGAGGCAGGTTATGCCACTTGAAAGGGCATGACTTCAGGTCTCAAGGAAAGTACAAGAGAGATGCTAGTTTGAAGGCAGCCAAGGAGGTCTGGATCTCTTCCAGAGATCAGTTGGAATCCATCAGCAAGAGCAGTGCTGAAGTAACCACTCAACTGTAAACACAGAAGGACTCTGGCCTTGGGCTGCCACAGGTATAAGAACAGAGCCTCTTCTCCATGCCTGGCATGAAAAAGAAAAGCACAGCTGATATTTGATGAATGGATGAATAAATGAGGAATGATCACTTCTGTGCTGTAATCCAACTACTTTGTCCAAATTCAATTAAGCCACTCTATGATGGATATAGTAGGAAAACATGAAATTATGGAAGGGAAGTGCCTAGGTTTTAGTCCTGACTTTACAACCAATTAGCTGTGGAAATGGGGGGGGGGGGGCTATCCTCATCCTTCTAACTATGTCGCTGATCATCCTCTCCTCTCTGAACATATACAAAGCATAAGTAGAGTTTTTGGCACCAAGGACACCCATCCCAGCTAAGGATGTATTCTTTACTTGGTCTAGATGTTATCTCAAATTAGAGGCTTTTCTCAAATAAATGATTGATAACTTAAAATCTTAGGTCTCTCTTACGTCAAAGATGAAGAAATAAACTTCCTGTTTCTGAAATCTATACACATCATCTGATTTAGCATGGCATTCTTATTGAAGCATCTGCTACAAATTGATAGTTCATAGAGTCAGGCAGGGTACTAAGTAATCCTTGGCTACAGGTAAAGCTTAGCAAGATCGGAAACAGCCTGGGATACATGAGACTTCATCTGAGATGTCACCTCAGGGTTCGTGTGTGTCTAGTGCCAATGGAGATCAGAAGGAGGTCAGTTTTGAATCCCTTGGAACTGGGAGTTACAGATGGTTGAAAGCCACCATGTGGGTGCTGGAACTCAAACCCAAGTCCTCTGCAAGAGCAGCAACAAGTGCTCTTAACCACTGAACTATCTCTCCAGCCCCTTGCATGATTATTTTTAAAAAAGTTTTGACTTAAAAGAAAATCCCAAGTCTAAATCCAAGGTCATGACCTCCAGTATTCTTTTGAAAATTTCCAGTGGATAACTGAAGCTTTGCTTTTAAGGAGAATATAAAGCCCAGGGTCTAGAGGTGGGGACCAGTTGTTGGAGCACTTGCCACATATGCATGTACCTGGAATCTGCACTCGGAAGATCAGAAATCCCAGCTTGTCTTAGGCTTTATACTGAGCTCAGACCAGCCTGGGCTACGTAAGAACTCGAGGATCAGCAAGAAAGAATCAAGGGCAGAGGCCTGATGGCATGGAAGATGGAAACCTAGGATCAGCCATGTTGAGTCTGAGTCATGAATGCACTCTTAAACTCCTCTTCCCAAATTTTGACAAACCAAGAACCTTCAAGGTACTTGCAGAAATCCTAGGTTTCAAGACTGAGAGACCAAAGTAAATATAAAACACACCTAGAGGACAGTGAGCACACTCAGGATGTTAATACTACCAGTCATAAAAACTCAGAAATAAGAAAATGTATGCAGTCCTACAAACTCTGTTCTCAAAAAGCACACCGTTGATAAATTAAAGCCTGATGGGAGAAAAGTCTGGATAAAGGGATGAGATGAGATATTGAGGTGAAAAAAAAAAAAACCTTCCAGAGGGTGGAGCAAATTGTCAACTCTAACAAAGCAAAGCTAAAACAAAACAATAAAAATAAGGCACCATTAGCCTAAAACCCAGGGTGTTGCCTCAAAGGGAACATGAAACCCCTGAGAGAAAAGACACAAAATACCTGAGACATAGAATAAGGCTCACATCGAGAGCTCTATAAAAGTAAAACAGGAGAATAAAGATAAGATCCTATGTTTTCTAATACACATAGCTTATAAAAACATCCCAAGACATACCCATAAGCTTTGGAAGTTACCAGACTACAAGAGTGTGGTTCAAAAAGAGGCCAGAGAGAAACAAGGATGCCTGCAGAACATTGAGCACACACCCTTGGAGGCCAATTAAGGACCAAGAGAGAGCCCTTTGGAAGACCAGAGAGGTCTTATTAACCAGTAGAGTTGATAAGTACACAGAAACCCAAGAAAATAGAAGGGAGACACCAAAGCATCACTATTAACTCTAAGTAGAAGGAACACATAGAAATGATTTTGGCATAGCTTTTCTCTAAGGCTCCGGCTTTACACACACACACACACACACACACACACACACACACACACACACACACTCTTATTGATGCACCTCGTATAAGGTGACCTACAAGGACACTAGGAAGGCCCAGTTCTGGATATCCAAGCACCTTATCAAGGGATATGGAGGAAAACAGCAAGTAGCCAGGTAAGAGGTAGAAGCATTTTACTTACTTTTGCTCACAGGCAAGTGTGCAAACATTGTGCTATCTCCTCAGCACTCTCTTTGCTTTTTATTTTGAGACAGAACCTCACTCAGTGCCCAGGCTAGCCTTGAACTAGAGCTCTTTCTGCCTTGGGCTCTAGCTGAGGTTATAGGTGTGTGCTGCAAGGCCTACCTGAAAGTGGCTATTTCTGAGGTGGGAGGAACAAGGGGAAGGCAAAACAAGATGACTGCTCTTTGGAAAAAAGAGTAATAAAAGCAACAATTATTTGGCTCTTAAATATTATATTGTAATGTAAAACAATTAAAATTAAATCATTAAAAAGTAATTTGTTTGTTCTTTTGACTGGCCTCAAACTCTTAACTATCCCAGATGCTGGGATTGCAAAGGACAGTCACCACACCCAGAAAAAAGAACATTTTAAGTCTTGAGACACTATTAAAAACTTCACAACTGCAACTGGGAAGGAGCAGTTCAGAAATAAGGAGTAGGTAGTACCTTAAGAAGAACTCCTTAAAAATGACATGCTGGAGCCGAGCATTGGTGCGTGCTTTTAATCTCAGCACTCAGGGAGGCAGATGCAGGAGGATCGCTGTGAGTTTGAGGCCAGACTGGTCTACAAATCAAGTCCAGGGCAGCCAGGACTGTTACACTAAGAATCCCTGTCTCCAAATAAAAAGAAAGATAAATAAAAATAAAAACAAAAAAAGACACACTGTACCCACCAGGCCCCTCTGCCAATTCTAGGCACTGAACTTTGACCTTTTCTTTTGCTAGCTGTCTAGTTCAGAGACATTTGGGTATTCAAGTACTGAAACAATTTCTAAGATTACCAACAACTAGAGGGCCAATCCCATGATACCTCACCTAGCACTCAAGGTGAGGTAGCAAAGGTGCTATGAGATACAAAGGCATAGCCAGGAAGTAGAAGGCAGGTCTGTAGGAAAAAGTAAGCAGCTAGAATAATATGGAATCTGAAGTGAGACAGTGAAAGCCACAACCAGAGGTCCAGAGACAGTTGAAGCCACCATGAAGTTAAAACAACAATGGAAGAAATAGCTTTTTTGTTTGTTTGTTTTTTAATATACTGAAAATTCACATTATTTTTCTATTTCATTATTTTGGGGAATGTTAAGAACAGACTGAGCATTGCCCCACATGAAAACCAGCATATGAAGACAAAGAATCTGCGTGTGCGGATTTGCAACTGTGTCTGGAGTGCTGCAGGTGGCCTCCGCAGCCATGAGGCTCTGCATTTCCTCTTTTGTAGAGCTCACTTGGAAGAGACCATTTCATGGCTCAGGCTTTTAAAATGACAACATTTGCTAAGCCCCAAGTGGTATCACTGGGCATACAAGCTGGCTGCCCCTTAGGAATCTAGCTCCAAAGGTCATGCGTGATTTTCTGAGCTTCTAGAGAGCTTCTCAAGCACATTTGTCCCTGAACATCTGTGCCAATCTTGGGCAGTGTTAGAGCCAGCCTTGGACTAGGCGGGGGGGGGGGGGGGGAGGACGACGACTTTCTGTGTCCTGGGAGGGGCTTTCAGTTCGGACTATGGGGGCATTTCCAGAATCCTCACTAGGAAGAAAAACCTCCTCTGTGTTGCTCTTGAGTATGTGTACTGTAAGTCTTACAAAATCTACCTACAGCTAGGGAGGTGCTGCATGGACAGAGGGACACGCAATTCCAGAGAGTCTGCCGTTTGCAATCAGCCAGGGTGGTAGACAGAACTGGTGAGGGTTTATTTCTTTACCGTACACAATGAGTCAAGGGCACTATGGGTTCAGTTTCTGCTCTATACTAACAAGCTGGATACGCCTATGTCCTCATGTGTACCAGAGGAGCAATCATAGTGTCTACCTCACAGAATCATGCGAGGAATAAACTAGATCATGGATGCAGATAGAAGTCAGGAGGCACAGTGCTGGCCAGTGTTTATCCCTGTCACTGTCACGGTGTTCTCTATGCTCTATAGCTGCCTTTCCTGGCCATTTGGGATGACTTTCTGGAAGCAGAACCAAGGATGTCTGAAGGTATGGCTGCCACATGTGCACTGAAACCATGACCTGATGAGGCCCACATTTGGGTTTAAGGTTGAATGGCATTAAAACACAGTGCAAACAAAGTGATCCATTTAAAGGAGAATGACAGCCCAAAGGGGCATCCTGCATGACTTCATATAGAATGGGCCATTTGGAGACTATTTAAATGTGTTTACTTTCAGCGAGCTGTCCTCCATGAAACAGACAGTGAATGCCTTCATTTTCCTTTTTATTCAACTCATTTGTACCCAACCCCCTCACAGAACCAGCTGCAAAACAAAGAGAACACACTGTACTTATATTAGCCTAAAGTTTTTTTCTCTGAAGAAGCCAGAAGCCCATCACACCCCTGGGTGACTTCATAGGCCTGGACTCATTAACAAAGCAGCCGAGATGGGGGCTGTGGAGACAGCCAGAGGCAATTGCTCCCTCTCACTGGCTTGGGCAGCCAAGCTCATCCTCTC